GACAAAAGGAATGCGCTTCATTGGAAGCCTAATGGACACAGTTTGTACGCGTATACTTTATTAACTCTTGGGAACTGAACTGATGTCATAAAGTAAGACCGCCCGCCATAAATAAATCATTAATTAAATGTATACTTTTATCCTCACTTTCGTGTCCTCCCTAAACTCGTGGTATCTTTTATAAATACAATTCCATTCCATGGCGTCGCGAGGATTGCAGACAAGATGGTGCATAATTTGAAAGTGAGCAAATGGGCTACTATTAAGATTTCTAGAGAAAGTCAATTACATCTATCGATATTTACAACTGTCTCTAGATGAAACCGTATAAAAGATGCAATAAAATGAAACAATACTAACAACTCTCTATGCTCACAATCTGAGAACATTTAACGATTTCTAATTACTTTACTTCGTGCAGAACCAGGACTTGCTACACAATAGAGGGAGATAACAGTTTCGATACTTATTCTTCACTGAGTTACCGTAGACTCTACTAGTGTAGTAGATAGGCTCCTGGAAACTTGGATCAAATTTTTAGCTTGCACCATGGTGCTGCGAAGAGCAGTTTCGGGCATCTTTCTTCTTGAGCGGGAAGAACGATGCCTAAATTTCTCAACAGTGACAAAAATAACTTTGGTGCAAAGAGACACTACAGCAAGCGGTGCGACGAGCATAAACCATCCTGGCCGTCTGTCTCTTTACTGGCGCAGGGTTAGGTGGAGCGCTTGCACCAATTGCACCACAATGGCGCCCCACCACTGGTCCATTCAAGATTGAAGAATGAAGGAAATGGTTGCTGAGTTTATTCACATGTATACGTATTTTTGTGTGAGTGTCGAAGTCCGTAAGTGCCTACTCTCAAGTACACATGCCTGCGTGTATGTGTGTGTACGTCAGGAGGGGGAGGGGGGCAGCTAGAGTGTGTATGTCTGGCACAAGGTAAATAAATGCCCAAAAAATGAGTCTCTCGCAAATTTGGGGAACGAAATGCATGTGGTTTTAGATGCCTTTGAGGCACTGAATAAGAAGTCCCCTTTACGTCTTTCAAATTAAAAGTCTTTCAGAACTCTCAGAACTCACGCTACTTCTCGTAACTTCTAACAAAGATTCTCCGAAGATAGCACCTTCGGATCAAAACACAGTATGGATTCTGATGTCACAACCGGAACAGTTAACGGCGTTGCATTTCGTTTCTAAAAGAAGTTGTATTGAGTATAGTCTAAAATAATAATAATGTTTTTTGTGTACCAAGATGTTTCGAGCAGTGTTCAAGTGCAATATAATGTTGTTAGTCGACGTAGTATTTTCTTTCGTTTGCTTGTATCACCAGGACGTTGACATTCTGTCAATCATTTGCTTTTCAACGGGACTACGTTGTTTCCAGGAAGTGTGGATCGAAATTAAAAGCGTCTCTCTCTCTCTCTCTCTCTCTCTCTCTCTCTCTCTCTCTCTCTCTCTCTTGCCGTTTTGTCGCTTCTGTCTACTTCCTGAAACTCAATGCTGCCCAGCGGCCTTTTTGCTATTTTCTCTTAGACTTTTGTCTGTCTCCGCTCCTCTCTCTCTGCAGGTCTCTCTGTCTCTGTCTCGGTCAGTCTGTCTGTCTCTGTCTGTCTCTCTCTCTCTCACTCTCTATCACTCTCTCTCTCTCTCGTCTATCTCTTTTTTTCTCAGAATTACCCCATCTTCTCTCTCTATTTCTCCCCATTCCTCTTTCTGCCTCCCCCCTCACTCTCTCTGCTGTTCTCTCTGTATCTTTCTCTCTCAGTCTCATTCTTCACATCTCTGTATTTCTCTCTCTCTCTCTCTCTCTCTCTCTCTCTCTCTCTCTCTCTCTCTCTCTCTCTGTGTGTGTGTGTGTGTGTGTGTGTGTGTGTGTGTGTGTGTGTCTCTCTCTGTGTCTCTCTTTGTCTCTGTCTCTGTCTCTCTGTCTCTGTCTCTGTGTATGTATGTATGTGTGTGTGTGTGTGTGTGTGTGTGTGTGTGTGTGTGTGTGTGTGTGTGTGTGTGTGTGTGTGTGTGTGTGCATGTGATAGAGATAGTATGTTAGAGTTTTGCATTTGTTTTGCATCCTTTGTTCCCTGAGATACCGAAAGACTTAGGTGAAGTTAAAACTGACGAACAACAAGAAATGCTACCTCATAATTTCTGTCTGACATTTTTGGCCGTTTTGAGTTACTAAGACAATGAGATCAGAAATCAATTGCTTTATCCACTCTATCAAGACTGAAAAATTATTCCAAGTGGTTTTCACGTATTCAAAGAACTGCATTCGAAAAAGCTAAACATATTGTATGATTCAAATTTTTCGACGTCAGTTTTCTCAAAACTAAATACTGAGCACATAGTATAGAACTTTGTAATTCTAAGATAGCAAAAGACTATTACGTTTACCTATACACAAATGAAAACACGCATAGAGCTTTCTCAGCAAACCAATGTATACACTTGATAAACTCAGGCGCCTCAGCTCTGTTGAACTCCAAAACCTTCCATGACATTTATTTTGCACATCTCTGCTAAGCCAATGCTACTTGAGGAATCTATAAATCTCCCCCTTAGAGCATGCTAGCCACGTCGTAGCGACATTTTGGAAGTGATTCTGTCCCTCGAAATTCTTGCAAATACGCCACCCCATGGAACGTGCGTAGTCTGGAGTTCACATCATAGAATGATTGGCTTCCGTCGAGAATGTAGATGGTAACTACATTCTTCGTGTCTTTACTCCTTTCTTTCTTTTTTTTTTGGTAGACGTGAATACACTTGGGCGCATGTTAAAATGTTGCATTGTTCTGCACTGGCGGTGTTTTGCAGGTAAATGTTCCTCTTTCTGAAATAACATCGGAGGAGACGCCTGACTGTGCCAAGTGCCGAAAAGTGTCACTGAAGACCATAGGTCGTCGTTGTGGTGATGAGCGGTTCACGTTATTACCTACTGTTCCATAAACATGCCTGCGTGCGCACACACACACACTCACACTGACACGCACACATACATACACATCACACACACTCACACAGAGACAGACAGACAGACATACACACACGAAGAGAGAGAGAGAGAGGGGGGAGAGAGAGAGAGAGG